TCACCCCCAGACGGATAACTACGTTTCATTTTCCTTCATTGACAAATTTTGGTTTTCACTGGAATAATGCTGCAACACTGAGCAGGGCATTGAGACTGAGGGCTGTCAGGTGGGCCCCTGAGGCAGGTTTCCTACAAATGTACACATTTTGAGGCAATGCTTTGGTTGAAAGTTTGTCAGCCGTTGGGGGCCCCCTACTGGTCTGGGGCCCTAAGCAGTTGCCTGCTTTGCCAAGCAGAGTTCAGCACTGGGTTGCACCACCTACAGTATGTGCAAGTTCAAAACGTAGCCTTACCTTCAAGCCTAACACTGAATGTAATTTCAAACTGAAGACAGAGTTTACATACAACTAACATTATAGGTTCCACACAAGTAGAGACAGTTTCAAAATAGGCACAAGTTACAATCAAGTCTATCCTCTTTAAATGTCTCTCTGAGTCATGACTGTCTACAATGAGTGAGAAGCATGAGTCCCTCCAGCTGTGTTGTTGTTGGAGCTGTATTGTTTCAATCACAGTCATTCTGTGTCAATTTATGTGCAACATGAAGCTACGAGCTAACCAAAGTGTGCTAACATTAGTCTGGATTCCACTGCTGGTGCTTAAAAATGGTGCGTACTAATTGAAAACTCCTTCTTGCGAATGCTATAGGAGAGGGGGGTGGGAGGTGTGTCACTGGAGGAGAGCGGAGGATTCAGAATAGTGGAGGCGTGGCCAAACAGAAGTCTGTTTTGGTGCTCAAGGGCGACATCTACTGGATCAAAAAGTCGCAAATTCTTCCTTTAATGGACACAAAACAAACGTAGAAAAAACTGAATCGAAGATAGAAACAGACAAAGGCTCAACATTGTCTTCTGTTTTATTTATGCAATATATTTATTCATATAATCAACATCTTAAATACACTGTTTGCATAAATAATGCTACTGAAATGAAAACAGAGAACTGTGAACCCAGTTTCTTCACAGCCTAAAATTGTTTGAAACTGAATACAACAGAGAGACAAACAGAGGACCAGTGTCGACAGAGATCTTCGTTTAGTGTTTCAAAGAGGAAGTCCTTGAGGAAGTGTGGAGCTAACCGCTACCAAAATAAAAAAGCTGAAAGGCTAATTTTGCCATCAATTTAATTTGTTTGTGCTCAAATGCTATGGAAATAGAATTGGTACATCTTGTTCCTATTGGTTCATGATAATTGTATTTATAGAACCATTTCTCAAACAGAGTCCCAGCTGTTCCCTGGAGGTTGGATGCAGGCTGATAAACATTCATTTTTTTTGGTGTATTGTGATCGTGTTGAAGATAGCACCCTGCACTAACAGCTCCCCAGTATCAAAAAAACATTATAACAATCTTTACAGAAAATAAAATCACCATGCAGCATCTTGAACGTCAAGGCAATTGCAAGCTAACAGTAAGTAACAATATCTGTTTGTTCTGTCTATTGTACAGTATAGATAGTAAAATTGGTCCACACATCCATATAAGATTAAACTACTGTGATCTATGAAGTACATATCTGAACGGACACCCAGGTCCTGGATTACATCAAGTGGACACAGTAGTTTTTTTTTTTTTTTTGGAGTTGTCGTTTCTGTAATTTCTCAAATATGAAGTCAGCTCGCAAATAATGGTTGAGTAAACAACACAAACGATAATCACTTATTTATCAGATTTTGGATAGAAAGACTTCTACACTGATAGCTAACATTGCAAAGTCATCATAATGTACATTTCCACAGCAGAACCTCCATCAATGTTTAACCAGTTAACTCCTGTTTTCTGCTTTTCCCTTTTTTTGAGTATCAAGGTCAACGCAAAGAATTTTCTGTTGAATCTGAATTCTCATAAAACAATTCTTAGAATTATCCAAATTAATACAGAATCAGTGAAATCTCTGAAATTAATTTAAGAATGGTATGAGCCAGTTTGAATTGTTTCCAGATAAATCTAGTTTTTTCTTTCTTTCAGTTCTAAAAAAATTAAACAATATTGTTCTACCTCTTCCCATTTTGAAACATTTTGCCCTTTTTTTGAGCAGCAGGAAAACGTCACTGTACGATCTCTGGTGAATACAGACAGATCTAGTGCTGTGGAAAAGTAGATTACGCTGGATTAACCCACAAAACAGGAAAAATGTAAAACGTGTAATTTCTTTAACAGAAAATTAAAAGAGGAGGAATCAGAAATCCGGACAGGCTTTTGTTAAAATAGGATTCAATAAAAGTATAAAACAGGAGATGCATTTTGAGGTAAACAAAGGCTTCTTGTCTGGTGTCATTTCAGTAAATATCATCCATCAACCATCAGGAGAACTGACCAGTGAGGGCTACTGGGATGTTTTATAAACTCTGTGTGTGATGGAGCTTCTTAATTAGAAAACAAGACACTGATACTTATAAATCAATACAATCGTCTTTTTCACCAAGCTCATGTCTGACTTTGTGACAAACCTACTCTTATAAAAACAAAATACATTTCAAATGAATTCAGTTTCCAAATTGTGGATTCACTGTAGATGACTAAAAAAACACCAGAGGTTATATATATATCTTATCTACTACCATTTTGACTTCATGTATACATCTGACACGGTAGTGATTCCAACCCCACTGTGAATAAAAAAAGTGCAACTCTGAAGAAAAGTCAGGAAAACAAAAACATCCAACAGAAAAGGTGCGTGTCGATAAATGTGTGTGGTAGGTAGTTTTCTAAAAGATTCAGTGCAATACAGACAAACATTTCAAAAAGCGATTTTATACAGTGTGTCACATTCAGAGCTTGTAAACAACAGAGAGAGAAGAGGACATTCACATAGATGGAGATCACAGTTATGACAACATGTGTTCTGGGCACAGCAGGCAAACAGGCAAACATCAGTATAGGAAGGAGAAAGAAAATGACGACACAAGAGGCAGACTTCTTTCACTGCTGTCTTCCACACATCAGTGACTGTGACTATGAGTTGGGTGTAATCACTGCCCACGAGCTGTCGCTTTGAAACATTCACATAAAAAAGGATTTGCCATATAAATGAGCGTGGAATGAAGGTAGGAGCGCTGATTCAAAGTTTGATTTCACATTTAAGAAAGATGATTCTGGTTCATAACAAAGCGGGTGTCATTTTCATACCTTTGGCCGTCATTCTTATCTTTTAAGACAACATTGTGCTCTCCAGAGCAATGAGTGAGTTACAGGAACATGGCGACATGATTCCAACAAAGAAAGCAAGAAACTAAGCAGTCAGAAAAAAAGGCGGACTACAATATCGCCATATTCCCTAATTAAGTAATTTTGAAAAGGAATGCTGACAGTGACTGAGCCGTAATGGTTGCTAAACATCTTTGACTTCACAAGAAAACTGTGGCAAGATCTGTACATGACTGTTAAATCTTGACTATGAACAGTTTTTTAAGACAGGAAATATAACCACACCGTCCTCATCCATGCACGGCCTGCTCCGACCTCCACCTCAGCGGCGAGGAAGTGTGGACAACAGGAACGTTAGGAATACAAAGGAGAAATCCTGCCTGCATCTTATCCCATGTGCTCTTTTGTAAAGCATCTTGATTTTGATTTGGCGCTCTACAAACAATGATTGATTGATATCAGCAGTCATTTCACTTGAGCAGTCCTCGCCTGGAGTGACGCCAAAAGATTTAGAGCTCGTCCTGTTTTCTGCAAGATTTCAACATGAAATCACAGACTAAGACACCAACATTACTCTGTTGCAGAATCAATAAGAAAGTACAAAGACGTAAAGACGGCGGATGGCAGTGTCGCGAAATCACAATCTGAAAAAGTTCTTATGTTTGCCGCCGATTTCTATTCCAAATCGTTTGGCTGCTTTAGTATCAGAGCAGCATTCATCAGTTTTTATGTATCCACTCAGAATTCATGAGGGGAAAACACAAGGCATATGAAATGGAAGCTAACATTTGCCTCATAGAAAGGGAGCAGTGTACTGTCTGCCCTCCTTATCCTTAAAAAGGTTAAATGATTTTACAATGCTAGTGTCTCTCGGGGAGTCCGTCTCCTCTATTGTGCTGAGCAGGCAGTGCACATGGAGTCTGAGGTTTTTTTCACGGCAAATCAAGAAAGAAAAGAATCAAAACAATAAATTATCAGGCTGACCAGCAGTCATTTGTCATAAATTGTTGATATAAAAATTGCAGGTTTGCAGCTTTGTGACCCGTTCTGTTGTTGTTTGGATGTTTCTCGGCGCTGTGTCAGTGTATTATAATTCTAAAAAGATCTGAAGGCCTAAAACTAGGAAACCAAGTACACAGCTATAGTCAACTTGAATGACCCTTTGACTTTGGCTAGACTCCACCTGCAGGAATCAGACAGCATCATAAACAAACAACGAGGCTTGTTTGTGAATAAACAAGAGAACATAAAAAAGGCTTTTAAATTACAACACAAATTCAGTGGACTAAAGCAGATCTAAGACCTTCTGAGGCCGCAGATTTTCTTTCTGGGACAGTAATAGAAGCTGACTATCAACTCAAGGCATCGTCTCTTTTTTCCAACGTCTCAAACTCGGCCATATAAAACTTAAAGGCTTTATATGTGATTTTTTGATCCAGCAGATGTCGCCCTTGAGCACCAGCATGAAACCGAAACAACTTGCGCTGCATTGTTGTGTTAGCATGCTAATGCTAGCGATCTTTATTATGCTGGTATCTTCACACTGCATGTAAATTTACCTGAAATGAGCGTGATCTAGAAACACAGTTAAGCAGTGAGTACAGTATGTTATTCTTCTTTTCTCTAGTCCCTCAATTAAACAACTTTTATACACGAGGGGAGGAGTCAGCCGGCTGTCCGGGCGATGTAAACAAACTGAAGATAGGACTCTGAAAACTCTGAAAACATCACAGACAGTGGGACTCGGGTGTTACACCCATTGTAGACAGTCATGACTCACAGAGGATATATTTGATTTATATTATATTTAAATGTGAAAAATCACATATAAAGCCTTTAAAGGATCTGCATGGCTTGATACCTGGGGTTAATTGAGCTTACCAACTCTTAGCACTTCAGGCTAACCACTTTGCATTTGTGATGACACGAGAATCACTCTTTGGGGGTATCTATGGTAGAATGCAATGGGATTTCAAACTGCATGGATTGAAATGTCCCTTATGTGACATTATCATTTTGTTGTCATTAAAGCAGTCCTGATATCCACCACTTTACTGAGAGCTGAGTGGAGGAGCCTTCACTTGTGGTAACGGGGGCAGAAACTGACAGAACGCTCATAAAGGATAAACTTGGATCAGCATCAACATCGAGCAGGGTCACCTGAGGGACTGGAAGGATGGATTACAAGGTTTGATAAGGCTAGACTTTTTCAGTCAGACCAATCGGGAGTTCTGTCCCACTTAATGGCTTGGGTTTCAATTGGCTTTAGGTTCGTAAATATCAACAAAAACAAAACAAAAACAATCTAATCAACGATAATTGATCTTAAGTCAGCTTGAGACAAAACCACTACTGTACTTCTCTAGCTCAGTTTGAAGATCATCCGCTCGGGCTGTGCTGGCCCCCCTGTGCTGACCGAGTAGAGCTGAGGATGGAGGCTGGGTGTGACAGGGCAGGAGGGAGTCTGTGGAGGACTCCGTGTCCATCTTCACTGTGGCAGTGGAACTATAACCTCCACGTAGTTGACGGGGAAAAAGCCGGACTCGCCGTTGATCATTCCTTCATACCAGTTCTCGTCTATTCGGTTGGTGAGGATTATGATGTCGCCCTCCTTGAAGCCCAGCTCGCCCTCGTTCTCGGGTTCAAAGTCGTAGAGGGAGCGACAGCACGGCTGGTCCAGCACATCGGACTCTGCACCACAAGAAGAGATACATGAATAATTCACTCCTGCACATTTATCCTGAGAAAGTGATTCTTCACTGTCTTGCTTTATCTTCGGTCCTTTAATTATTTGGGGATAAAAATGGGAGAGACACATTACAGATGAAGACTTTGAGATGGGGTGAGTTTTAAAAGCTTTATATGTGATTTTTTTGATCCAGCAGATGTCGCCCTTGAGCACCAGCATGAAACTGAAACAACGCGCGCTGCATTGTTGTGTTAGCATGCTAATGCTAGCGATCTTTATTACGCTGGTATCTTCACACTGCATGTAAATTTACCTGAAATGAGCGTGATCTAGAAACACAGTTAAGCAGTGAGTACAGTATGTTATTCTTCTTTTCTCTAGTCCCTCAATTAAACAACTTTTATACACGAGGGGAGGAGTCAGCCGGCCGTCCGGGCGATGTAAACAAACTGAAGATAGGACTCTGAAAACATCACAGACAGTGGGACTCGGGTGTTACACCCATTGTAGACAGTCATGACTCACAGAGTTATTTTCAGAGGATATACTTGATTTATATTATATTTATGTGTGAAAAATCACATAGAAAGCCTTTCAGTATCCTGAACCATCTCATTGAACTTTCAAACTCCACGTGCTCCTGAGGCTTCCTCTCCACTGCTACATTTAGAGCTGTGTTGACTTATTCCTGTCTGTGATTGGTCATATGTTGCTAACATTCATGTGAATGCGCTCACAAATAAATGGCCTTGAGCTTGTTTAGCGCTTTTCTAGTCTTCTGTCTACTCAAAGCGCTTTTACACTGCATGTCACACCTCTAATTGACGCCACCGACGAAGCAGCAGAAGCAAGTGTTTTGCCCAAGGACACATCGGACATGTTGCTGCAGGAGCTGGGGATCGAACCCCTAACCTTCTGATCGAGAGACGACCAACTCTACCAACTGAGCCGAAAGCTTGCATCCTGACTTTAAAGTTAAAATGTTTTTCTGTGTGTGAAGTATATTAATCAGCTATGTAGCCGTTTTAACTTTGAACACTTTTCAGATCTTGTATCAATTGATGGAGTGCAGAGTCGGTATGCGTTACTCACGGTGAATATTGCCATTGGTGGAGGGGCTCTCAGGCCATGACAGTGGAGCAGAGGTTATATGATCAGCTGGGTGAAATGTAAGGACAAATGAGGATGTTTCTGAGTACAAGACAAAACAGAACAATGCAAACACACAATATGATGAAGCTGTCCTGAATGTGTAACTTGATTCCTCAGTGTACTTTTCATATGCTAGTTGTGTCTGAGTCTTGCCTGTAGAGGGCAGCATTGCTTTGTAAGGCTGTATCAACATGCGTGCTGGGGAATTTCTCTCTTTAAAATAGTCTCTCGCTTGCAATAATGTCTTAAGTGTTATCCTACATGATGCCTTCATGATGATCCAGGATTGTCTGGGAAGGGCTTAAACGAGCCCCGGCTTCTTTGGTTTGCCTCAGCGGTCACTTTAGCAGAATATTGACAGGTCTTGATTCACTCGGTTGGGAGAAGTGAACCTCGGCAGAGCTGACTAATTATTTTTTCACCGCAGGAGTTCTCCTCGTTTGTGCTGCTCTGTGTTTTACATCCCACCTCAGGCTTGTGTTACAGAGGCGTTGCAGCACCCTGGCCGACCAGATTAAAGACGTGGAGGAGAAACATCCAGACTCCCTGCTCATCATTCTGGGGAGTTTAACGGATCAAATCTTATCCACCAAACTGCCAAAATACAGACAATATATACAATATCCCTCCATGGATGCTAACACATTGGATCACTGCTACACAGTTTTGAAGGACTCATTTGGCTCTGTTAGCCCGACAGCTTTGGGACTCTCTGATCGCTGTCAGATTCACCTCATCCCGACCTACAAGCAGAAGTTAAACCATTTAACTAGTTTTGGATCATAATTCCTAATCGATGTGAAATCTGGCAAATTCAGCTTAAGATATCAGAAATCACCTAAATTGATCCTATTAAACAACTCTGTAAGTTATGGCTGTCTGACCTCTGAGCTTACATTACAGCTAATGTTTGCTGTTAGTTTGAACTTCACTGAGTGAGTGGCAGGGCACATACAAAGAAAAAGCATAATGCTGATAGGTCGACCAAGCATGAGGGTTGAAACCTAAACGCTGTATACAAGAATACCTACTTTTTCCATTGACCGTGTTGTTGATCTGGATATCTGTCGAGGTAACAAGAAAAAGAATGGACTCTAGAATTCAAAGCAAACAATGAAGCTTCAGCCAACAAACAGACAGACTTATGGCAGCTGTACCGGTGGATTTAAGCGAGGAGCTGTAGGACAGGCCGTTATGCTGACTGTTGTCCAAGGTCTCGATCCTGCTCCTGATGGATTTGGATTTGAACTCTCTCTTGGGCCGGCAGCTGGCTGTGGACATCCTGGGACGAGAAGAAAAAAAAAAACTGACTTCTTCTTTTATGACAAAAAAAGAAGAAAAGAGGTCAAGTCACTGATTTAGCTCAATGACAAAGAACAAATGAGGCCTTTAGTTTCCAACATTTTATTTAATCTATGCTGAGTGAATTAACTAATGCATTCACTAAATGTATTAAATAATCATGAAATGTTCACCTTATTATCCTTTAATCTAAAATCTAATATTGTTATGAAATATTGCATTTGTAACCAAAACAAAACTTGGAGCCTATTTAAGAGCACGCAGGGAACATTCATGATTATGATTTACGTCTAAGAAAGTCCTCTTTATAATATGTCCTCTTTAAATCAAGAACTCAGTCTACCTAGTTTTTAAATAAACTCTTCGAAGATCTGCTGTGTCCACCTGGATCCATGCTCCCAATGAACCAACCACTCTGTGCTGCAGGACGTGATGTCATCATCCCACAGGAGAGAGTGGCTGCAGAGTAATTACAGACAGCAGAGCCGAGGTGAAGTACAACAGAGCACAGTCCTCACCTCTTGTGCAGCTTTCCACTGAGCTCCTCCAGGATTTCACACGACTGCCGGTGATAATCTACTGCTGCCTCAATCAATGCTGACAGCTGGCTCACCTGCTCCACCTGTTGGCCACAGGGCAAACACACACATTAACTTATCCCCAGCTCAATACTCAATTCTCAACAAAGCTGGACTATTTTATTTTGTGATGTACTGTTTTAGGATAATGGCCAGATATGGACTTATTAGTGGAAAAAACAGATTGATTAAATGTGTCAAAAATGTTCTACATACTTAAGATGACACATTTAATAAGTTAATGACTGTATAAATGTCTCCTGTCTACTAATCAGTGCAATAAAAAACACAAAAAGAAGCCTTAAAAAACACCTGACATGAGAAAATGTTGGATACGAGGTCAGATTTTAAATTCTTAATTCTTCTAAACCTGAGCTGCACATTTAAAAATGTAAATGCAGTGTTACAGTTTTAACTCTATCGGTGCAGCTTGTATTTTTTCTGAAGTTCTTCCATGACTTACATCATTCTCCAGGAAGTTGAACATGCTCCGCTCTGCCAGCTCTTTGCTCTCCTCAAACTTCTCCACGGCCTGTTGGATCTCCTCGTCTGGGATCTTCCCCTGACGCTTTTTCTTATAGTCAAAGTCTAACCTGCGGCCCTCCAACTTCTTAAGATGATGCTGTGAAAACAAACCAGAAGATATGCTGTTTATTTTATTTCAAAACAGATGGCTAACCTTTAATGCCGTATACTTAAAGACTGATGTAATGATTGTAGTTACAATGCAAACTCACACATCCTGGATATGCAGAGAAATTTCTTTTTTTCTTCATATTCTCATTGTTATCCTAACTATGAGAGTATTGTCATGTTTTTAAGGGATTAATAAAGTATTTCTGATTCTGATTATAAGAACTGGAGGGAGAGGTTTTGAATGCTGACACTAAATCATAGTCACAGATGCTCCAGTTGTTTTATTTTCCTGTTCACTCGTTCTTCACCCTGAAGAAGTTACAGGTGCTGCTGATGAGTACCGTGATCTCCTTGAGGTCCTTGTCCTGTAAATGCTGCAAGGGGTCGATGAAGTTTTGTTTGACGTTTATGTCCAGGGAGTCCTTCACATCTGCCATCTGCCTCATGGCCTCACCCATGTCCACCAGAGAGCCGCCTACAGGACAGACACAGACACATTGTTTAATTCAGCGAACAGTCGACCTGTTGCATTGAACTCACAATTATCATAACCTGGTTCTGATATATGATTGGACAGACACATTTCTGTGAGTTGGGTACAGCACAACTTGCTCCGTTGCTTTTAGACTGTGGACTGTTTTTTTTAGGGAAGTCAGGATGATTGAAATGTACAAATTCACCTTTAAAAAGGATCAAGTACAAAATAAAAGGTGCTATTTTCTGGATTAAGACTTTTTTTTGTACCAAAGACGGACTCCTGTCCCAGTTCATGACCGTAGCGCAGCATGCAGTCTCCCAGCAGGCCTTCTGTTTGAGGGTAGCCCGTGGTCTTCACCTGCCCGCGGATCTTAGATACGGTGTTCAGCATGTTCAGTTTGGCCCGGGAGGCTGTAGAGGATAACAATAAAGGTACCACATACTGCTGATTGACTACTGATTTTCAGTCTGTGTTGAAGTGGTAGTCATGGTTTTTTTGTACCTGGGTTAGGCTGGAGGTATTCTGTTGTTTTGGACAAGAGATCAAACACGGACTTGTTGGTGACCTCAATTTTCTGATGGGAAGAAGAAAGAAATTCAGAGATCTAACGTGAGAATACAATGTTGTAATGAACTCGAACTATTCAACACCCTGAGTGTCAATTAAGATACATTTGTTGACCTATTTCTGTGGTGATGGGACAGTTCTGTGTATTTTTCCTTGTTTGGTGCTTGTGTTTTTGTTCTTTCAGAGGCTGGGCGTGGCTTATTGGCTGCTGGAGCTCTCTGCAATCACTCACCTGATCGTCATCTGTAATCACCGGCTGCAGCATTTATACCCTGGTTCAACTCTCCCAAGCTGCCAGATTATTTCCGCCTACACTGTGGTAGATCGGCGTCTCAGTAGCAGTAAACTTTTTGTGCTTTGGATACCTGTCACTAATTATTCCCTTGTCTTCTTTTTTACCCCAGTGCCTCCAACCACCGAGCTCCAGCGCCTCACCACCCAGCCTCTCATTCAAGCCTCACCAGCCTCACTTCAATAAATACCCCTTTTACCCACCACCCTGTTTTCCGGTCTTGCTTTTGGTTCCACTTAAAAACCTTAAAGATCATAACAATTTCATCCCAAAAAGATGAAAAACTGAGAGTGCTGCAAGATTAGCTCTGCACCATCTCAGTCATTACAGAGTGATGACGAGCATCGGCTTTGAGAGAAAAATAAATCAAGAAGAATGCATCAAGTTTCTGATGTCATGAGCTAAGAAAGATTAGATAAGATAAGAAAGTTGTAGTACAAATCTTCAGAAAGCTAACTACAAATAATGAGACCACACAGGCATCATGGAAGCACATTGAATTCAGAGCAGACAACTGGACTGAACTCACCCTCTCCATCTCCATGAAGTCTTCATCCAGCTTCGTGCCTTCGGCCCCGCTGATCTTTTCACTGAGGAGCTAAACACAGAAAGAAGGATTTTATTTCAGGGCTGAGAAAGACGAACACAACATTACATGAAAGGTACTCTTCATGGCAAGTTGTTTTTTCTCTACAATTCTGAAATACTACAATTCATTTAGCAGACGCTTTAATCCAAAGCGACGTACATCAGAGAGTAAGTACAACACTCCAATTTGAACAAATTTGGGGACTTTTCAGGAGCTTTGTGCATGTGTGAAAACCTCAACAATGTGTGAACAGGAAGAAAAGGACCTGGCTCAATTTATCCAATCGAACCTTTTTTTCAGAATGCCACTACCTGTCATCTTTTGAATGCGATGATTTGTACTCCAAATGTGTGTTTTTGTATCATCTTCTTAGTCTCTTTTCACTTGAATGCACAATGTCTTGGGAGGAAACTTCTGATGTGTGTGCACTGATACTGAGTCAGTGAGAGTGTCTCTGTGGGCTCGTAGAGATCCTACTTGACAAAGCCCATTCCTCTGTGAAACTATGACAACAGCCAAGCACATGTCTCATTGTTCACCGCCTCCTTTCTTCAGGATTTCTTCTCCTCCTCACAGTCTGAATACACAGGTTCAGTAAGGTTAAGCTGCGCTGTGCACTATCAGAATAGATTGAGTGTGAACTGAAACGGCACGCATCTGCAGTATTCTGTTGTGTTTCTATCTGAAACATATTCTATTAACTCTAGTTCAAAGGTTCAGAGTAGTACTGTAGTATCTAATTGCACTTCTTTGTTTAATGCAGGTTCAAATGATGTCAGATCGACTCAGGTGGGACCTGCATCAACATTTTCAGAAGGAAGAAAATCACGACTGACCCCTTTTTTAAAAACTGTTATTGGTTGTCCTGAGCTGTTAGCCTTTACTACAGAATATGAAGACATCCGCAACTAGCCTGTATAGTTTTCTTAAGTGTGTCACAAGGAGGAATGGGCCTCTAACACCGTTCCCTGGCAGGTCCTAAAGAGGATTACAATTCTGTGTACACCGATAGTGGACTGGAACTGAAAGATTGAGGGCAGTCAGCCAGTTGGGAAGAAAACCTCCGATTACCTTTCAGTCAATGAGTTTATGTTCTACAACTGGAATTCACTTCCTCACCTATTTACACTTTCTTTCTGCCCTGATTATAGTTTAAATCCACCCTACTTTTTCTTGTTTTTAAATGTATTACTACATTGAAGGTTGATCCATATCCTCAGTAAATACTGTACACCAACCTGATCAATGACATTAATCATCTCAGCACTCCCCATTGCATATAGTCTCTAAGTGTTGTTATGTTATATATGAGTATTTTTGATATATCTGCATCCACAGGCCTGTATATAGTAGTTTTAGGTTGTTTTTCGAGTAGTTTTAGTGCTTTGTATGTGCCCACAGTCTTGGCAAACGGATTCTGAGTTAGTAAGTCAATTTTAGGAAGCACTGAACCTCTCTAATCTTTTCCCCATTTTTGCTGGATCATGTTGGACTGCTTTCTGCTGTTTTGTCTAAACTGTCCTCACTAGAGGATCCGAGAGCTGCAGAACACTACAGCCCCCTCTGCACAGCTAAATGCTGCTCAGGGCTCCTGGTGGATACATGTTGGGTCTTTAGTATAACAATGAGGAAGGTGTTGTGTCTTGAGATAACATTTGTTATGAATTGGCTCTGTACAAATAAAATGAAGACTGAGTGATGATTGAGATGCTGATGAGGAATAATCAACACATTCTACTTTTACACAAACAGCAGACTGAGTTAAATCATTGAGAGGAGAATCTTCACAGCTGATGTGACTTCCTGCAGAGAACCATTTTGCTGTTTTCCAAGTCTATTTATAGCCAAACATAAAATACATATTTCAGCCAGTTACACCATCAATGTTCTGGAAATCTACCTTTTATTGATGAGTTAACCTGAATTGAGAAATCTTACAAATATTTCTGATGCTTATGAGGGGAGGAAAATACATGCAACAATACATTCAGGCTCACTCAGTCAACAAACAGAACTTCAGCGTCTTCCCTATGGAGCACGTTTTGTAAACTAGAGAGCCGACAGCTATGAAGGACCTCTGGTGCAGGTTCAGCTAAGATATAAACACTGAATAACTCAGTTGGGATAAATAAAGTATGTTTTCTTCTTCTATAGTAAGTCTAATAATTCTGATTAGCTGAAAACACAGAGCAATGGAATGATAACTGTTTATGGTAACGGGACTTGAATAGCACAAGGAGCACACAGACTTTCTTTGGGGGAGGCTCAGTCTGTAGGGACTTGGATTGGGAACTGGAGGGTCGCCAATTCAATTCCCGGGTGCGGACCAAAATCTGGAAGTTGGTCCGGTAGCTGGAGAGGTGCCAGAGCACTTCCCAAACAACCCCCAACTGCTGTGGTGCGCTCCCTGTGTAGCAGCTCCACTCTGACATCTCTCCACTGATCCTGTTTGTGCATGTGTGTGTGATTCAGGCACACATGCAGCTACTTCAATCTACTTCAACTTCTACCACTGAGCCACAGCCGCCGTACTGGATACTGTAGAAACAAGGCAGTGCAACAAAGCTGACTCTGCAGACTCTGCAGACATATGAGACTCATTCTTCTTTTTAGATGATTATACATTATTGTACATATTCTAAAAATTAGATCTCAGATCTTTAAATGCTAATTCATCTTCTACATTTAGAAAATGCACATTAATTATTGTGTCTTTAAAAGGGATTTACATATTGCAATCTGACCAGGCCGTTTATGTAACCAACAGTCCAAATATAATTGATTTCAGTGTTTCCCCTAGGTTTACAGCATTGGGGGGGTGGGGACAAGCCGACATGGCGACACGACGACTTGAAGGAATCTTGGTGTTCATGTGTTACTTTTAATGACAGCTGTCCTTTTCTATCGGAAAGGTATCCTTAAATGACTTCTTTCCCTGATTTCCGACTATATCCTCTACCCTGTGCCTACAAAACCCCAAAAAAAAAATCTATAAAAAAAAAAAAAAAGAAGCAGTCCATTTGTTTATGCACCAAATGAAAACTTGAAAAATATTTAGCAACATTTAAAATTCTTCACCTTTCTTCATTCATGTGAAAACAAAGTGTGCAGGCCTGAGACAAATATAAATGCTACAACATTCCCTGTTCACTAAATCACTCTCACTGGTGGTACTGCTAATTCTGGCGAGTGACTGAGAGTTGGGCAGGATGGGAAGTTACAGTTATTTCCTTCCGCATGCAGCATTGTCTAATATCAGTAAAAGATGACAGCAGCTCTGAAGTGTTGCTGCTGCCAGGCCTTATGTAAGCAGCCCCGACCGGATCAGCAAACAATGTACTGTACTACTGAGGCTGCGGGAGGGAGAGGGCCGCGCTGATACTGTTATGTGTTTTAGTAGGTCACAGTCTGATGAGCTGTTGCACAAGCACAGGTTTACTGAAAAAAAACAAAGGAAACAACAGCAACTGTTGAAAGTGATAAAGAACAACGGAGCAGAGTGACAAAGCAGTTCTCAAGAAAACAACACAAGTGGAGTGACTTTCACTGTGAAGTCTTTGTGGGCTTCATCACTTTGTGTCGCTGGAAATCGTTCGACAGGGACTCATTTTTCTCACAGATAAACAAAGACTTACTGGTTTGTTAGCTGGGATGCTAACACATTTGAAATTGCCATTAACAGGAAATTCCTCTTCACAAACTATCTGTTCTGTATTATTGTATTTAACGCACCTGTGTGTACGCCCTGCTGTGATGGTGCTGGGCCAACCTGAGGACGCCACAGGTGAAACACGTTGTTCTCTCACTATGAAACACAGTAAAGCTATTTTCAGTGTGCCACAGATTATTGATTTATTTTCATGGTAACCTGTTCCTGCAACCATGCCCACCTGAGAACGTGTAGGTGGCAGTTGACCATTTAGATTAAACTGTCTGCTCTAAACAATGTTAAGTACATTTCTTTATTTATTGAATTAGGACAATGCACATTACCCAACATATCAGCAAAATGCCATAATGTTATTAAACCAGCGTAAAAGCAGAGAGGGTGTAGTTGTATATATTTCAACGGCTGCACCATGTGTGCAGCGTTAGTGAAACCCTGGCTTCAAGTATTAAACGGTACTGTGCTCAAGCATTATCACAGTGTCCCGGTGTAAAGGAGCCCAGATAGTGGTTGCACCTTCTGTTGCACTTAATGCAACTGGAGGACCATCCAGGACCTCCTGTGCACTTAAAGGGAGATTGCACCTTTCATCTTTCATCAGAACAAGAATCAGAGGTTGCACACTTCATCAAATGGGAGTGACGTTTCTGTACCTTTAAGATGTGCATAATAACCTCAATATAACTTTAGTTTAGTTTGACAGTAAATGTTCCACTTTGACACAACATCAACAAAGCTATCATTAATCAAACACAACTTTAATTTCTTAATTCAGCATTTCAAATACAGTTTGATTATCAGCCCCATCACTGCTCTCCCTGGATGGAAGCTGTGAATGTGTGTGTGTGTGTATTTGTGTCCAAGGCTCAAAGTACTTGCAACAGAAGAAAAGGTTGTAGGCACCAAGTGGGTCAGAGCCTGGGTAAAATTAGCAGACTCAGAGTGGAGAAATGAGCCCAATTTGGCTGCCAGAGCCTTTCTTTCTGGGACAGTGAAGGGGGGGTGGGGATCAGTTTTTTTGAGTTAAAAGAACAGGCTTACTGGTAAAGCAAGTTATTATCTGTTTTTTACATTTGAACCAATGGACATTTTGAGACAATTTTAGGACAGTCTGCATCTACAATTTTCCAAAGTTGTATTTCACACTTGTTCCTCAGGATGTGAAAAGATGCTGCTGTTTGTAAATATTACTGCTGGTGGGCGAAGAAAAGTCTGACACTATGGAAGTTTTTTATAGCAGTGCTGTGTGGATGTATTCACAGCATCAACGATCCAGTGTAAAAGAACATACTGGTGAACAGAGAGGAGTATGAAGCTGGTCCATTGCAGGTATGATCGATGG